GCTTCACTTCACCCGGCTGCCGCGCACCTGCTCGACGGCGCCGCCGTGTTCGCCTCTTTCGAGGCCGCCCGCGCCATCCTCACGGAGGTCAGCAGAGCTTCTTCCCCCCCTTCCCTTCGGCCAGGTCTCGCTCCGGAGCGGGGCTCAGGCCTGCCTCTCACCCACCTACCCACCCCCGTGCTGTGGCTGGCAAAGACACAGGGTGACTTCACCCGGCTGCCGCGCACCTGCTCGACGGCGCCGCCGTGTTCGCCTCTTTCGAGGCCGCCCGCGCCATCCTCACGGAGGTCAGCAGAGCTTCTTCCCCCCCTTCCCTTCGGCCAGGTCTCGCTCCGGAGCGGGGCTCAGGCCTGCCTCTCACCCACCTACCCACCCCCGTGCTGTGGCTGGCAAAGACACAGGGTGAAGCAGAGTGGCTCTGGGCATGTACAGAGCGTGGGAGTAATCGCCCAGAGCCTTTGCGGAGAATGGGGGGGCGAGGGGAGAAGGGGGGGCACAGGTGTCGTCCTACACCGCAGATTCTCAGAATCAGGAAGCACAAGGATTAAAAATACGTACAGGGGCAATATAATCTGTATAAAGAAGTAATAGGTGAAGAATGGGATAAAATATGGGATCAAAGAATTACTGTATGAAGAACATGTCTGTAAGGATAAAAGAAAATTATCGTAAGTTAATATAGAGGTGGTATTTAACACCAGTAAAATTGAGAGAACATGTCTATAAGGATAAAAGAAAATTATCATAAGTTATTATAGCGGTGGTATTTGACACCAGTATAATTGAATATAATTTATTTATTTATTATACTTATGTTCCGCCCATCCAGTCATAGACTACTCTGGGCAGCTGACATAATAAATAAAAATGCATCATAGATAAAAATGTATCCTCACTATGCTGGAGGTGTAAAAAAGAGAAGGGGATATATATACATATGTAGTGGTTATGTGAAGTAAGAAAGCACGAATGGAAGCAAATTTTTAAAGAAATAAGGGAAATAACTTGATTACATATTCAAATGTCCCCGTCAATGGCTTTATCGAATATGGTCAAGAAAGATCAATTGTTCAAAGAAAATAAGGACTTAATAGTAATAATGGTTACGGCAGCAAGGTTAATTTTTGCAAGAAACTGGAAAAATGATAACCAACTCAATTTAAAGAAATGGTATAGAGAACTATGGGATACGGCAATTAATGATAAACTGACATGTGATATGAAAGAGTCCTATCAAAAATAATGATTTTAAGAAAATATGGAGCATATTCTTGGGATATGTATTTTGGAGAGGGAAAGGGAAGGAGTTACACCGAGGGACGTATCAATGGTGTTTTGGAGAGAAAATGGACTGAATTTTAAAAATATTAATGCTAGCCCTGAGGATAATAGTGGCACTGGTGTATAATGTAATTGTATTTTATTGTGGTGTTAGGTTAATGTTGTTTATGACAGATGTTTGTTTAATAAATGTATAAAGGGAAAAAAAGACCTAACCTGAAAATAAGCCCTAGTATGATTTTTCAGGATGCTCCTGATATAAGCCCTACTCCAAACTAGTTAAGTGAAACCACACCCTCCACCAGCATGCAGTAAGTAGAAAAAGATGACATGACTAGATGTGAATAAATGTAGATGGCTGTACATGAAAATATTAAAACATCCCCTGAAAATAAGCCCTAATGTGGTTTTTGGAGCAAAAATTAATATCTGACCCTGTCTTATTTTGGAGGAAACTTGGCAAGTACAGTACGTACATATGCATATACATATATACCCTGCCTTTCTCCTTGAAAGGGACCCCAGATGGCTTACAACAATGAAATGACAAGCTTTGAAGTTGGAAGTAGTGAGCATGTATCGGTGCTTAGCACCATTAAAAGACAAAATTTAAAACTAGGAACAAATTGCTGCAAAAGTAGCAAGTGGGCTTACCTTTTTTTATTTGGTTGGATAGGGCACTTTTAGGGTTGGCTTGAGGTTGCACCCATAAAATCTGCATTTCGTTATAGCTGTCCTGTCTTTAAAGAACATCTACCGGACTGATGCAATTTTGTTGGGCCTGGCAAGGTGCTGTGCAGGGTTTAGGATGCACCCGGGGGCCAAGGCGCGAGTCACAGCAAATGTTGAACCTTAGCATTTTTCAGGGTAGAAATTAACCTCCGGTTTCTGGCAGGGATGGGGCTTCTTCGCTGTGGAGACACATAAGCTGGCACTCATCATGAGACCCCACTGCTTTAGCTGCCCTTCCTCTGCCCTAACCTGAATCTCCCACAGTTCAGCTTCATTAGAGGACCCTGGATCTCTTTGGGACCACGGAGAGGAGACACATTTTTGGGGATGGGGAAGCTTCTGTGCCTTTAACAGTTGTAGGGAACAGGGAGTTCCAGCCCTGTCCTTGCTGGTCGTGCAAGCACTTTGAAATTCTGTGTTCTGTACAGGAAGTGGAGCTTTCACTTCCAGTTTTTGCCTGCTTATGTGGGCAAGAAGGTAATAGCTGTCTGCAGGGTACCTTGTGCAGGTTGGTGATGAGGAAAAGGAGTACCGTGGTTTATTTAATAACCAATTTTGGCTTGGTTGACCAGAGAGAACCAAAGGAATCCGATGTATATGGAAAGAATTGTAAGGGGAGAAGCAAGGCCTCATTCAGACTTTCCAAAGAGGACCACTGTATTTTCTTCTCATCTCATAAAAACTCAAAGGTTTCCTTCAGGCTGACCTCACTTTTTTTTGATGACTTCCTGTGCTATGAAGCATACATGGGGTTGCCAAAGTTAGGGCTGCTGCACCCTTAGTAGATGGGTAGAAAGGTCAGCAGGCGTAGCTGGTGTGTTGAGGTGCACCAGTAGAATTTCTCCTTCCACACCTATTAAAATAGAAGGGCTCTTATTTCTTTGGCACCTTCCTTGGGCCCGATGTATTTGCTGGGAAACGACCCAACCAATCCCAGTGCTAAACAGGTCTGACTTTATTTTTCTTTTCAATTTTATTTTAAAAGTTAATAGTAACAACACTAACATAAAAAGTGTGTACATACAATACAATACATCTATAATTCCCCTCCTGTGCCACCCTCACGACTAGGTGACCAAAAATATCATTTTAATCCCTTTTCACCCCATTACACTCCAAAAACACATTGATTCTTCGGTTGGCTTATGACCTTTCCCTTTCACAAAGACATATTTCAGATAGAAATTCCATATTTCTTTAAAATCAAATTTTGTCATTCCCCTTCTTGCTTTCATTTCACATGTTAGTATGTCTGACTTTGAACATACTTTCTGTGCAGTGCCTTTCCATCATTCCTGAAGCCAAAGCTGTTCTTGATCTTGTGGATGGGTGCCCTGTGCGTGCAAAGAAGGGAGATTTTCCTGTGATCGTTATTGAAGGACTGGATGCAACAGGTAGGTCATAACTAGGTACTATAGTACAGTATAATCTAAAGGACTGCCATACATGTTATACACTGATACAGTTTATCTCTCATGGAGTGCATTTCATGCTAAGTGTCAAAAACTGCTTGGCATCACATTTATTCCAGAATGGTTGACACCCCCCTTTTTTTTCTGCTGAGATGATGCTAAGGTTGCAGTTCTGTATGCATGAACTTGTGGGTAAGTCCTGCTGAACTTAGTAGGATTTAACTTTTGAGTAGAGGCCATAGGTGGCTTCATGAAATGCAGACTGGGGCTCCTGTACCTTTAATAGGTGCATGGAAAAAAGGAATTTCAACCAGTATAGCTGGTATGCTGGCCTAATTAGGATGTACACATTAAACAGGTGGGTAACATGGCCCTCCAGCTGTTTTTGCACTATTACTTCCATTATTCACAGTCAGCATAGCTGGAGAGAGATGATAAGGTGTACAATTAAAAAAATCTGGAGTTTCACATGTCCCCCCCCCGCACACTGGAGCATACATTTTTCCTTTCAAGTACGTTGTCATAGTCTCCCTTTCTCACTACATCTTCCAGATGAGCCCCAGTAGATTTTGCAGTTACAAATAACACTTCTCTGAGTTGTAGTTGCTGAAAGGTTTAAAAATAAAACCAGGTAGGTGACACATTTTAAAAGCATGTTGTGTGCTGTGTGGGCGTTTGCTGACATTCAGCTGCTTTGGGGGCTGTCAACGAGATAGAAAAGTAGCCTACGTGTGTATGTACGCATGCAAGCAAGAGAACTGTAATTGTTAGCACTTTGAAGGACTGGATTAATAGCTGTGGTGGCTGGTAGAAGCATGAGTTTTATTTTTATTTATTGCACTTTTAAATTGCCTAATAACCAGAATCCACTAGGTAGTGTACAATACAACCAGTAAAAACAATGGCTGCGTGTAATGAAACCAACAGCAAAGAGGGAGAACAGGGCATAGTATAAAACCAGCAGCAAAATAGACAATTAGGCCGGCCCTGATCCTTGGACTTGTCTCTGAGTGAAGGAGTTGAGAGAGAACCTCTCATACCGTGTCAGGAGTTGATGACATTTTCCTTCCTGGTTTGATTTTAGGCAAAACCACCGTAACCCATGCTCTGAAGGATTCGCTAAATGCTGTTCTGCTGAGATCTCCTCCACCTTGCGTCAGTCAGTGGAGGAAGGTGTTCGATGATGAACCGACACTCATACGGAGAGCTTTCTATGCTCTGACCAACTACATTGTTGCTTCTGAAATAGCAGAACAATCCACAAAATCCCCAGTGATTGTAGACAGGTTTGCACATGTAAAATACTGTCTTTATTGCGTACATGGTACATTTTTGTTTTTGTTTTTAAATTTTTTTTAAAGAATGGAGAAGTCTTGTCTCATTCTCTTGTTAATCAATCATGTTAGTTAAGATTCTTTGTGATATTCCCAGAAGAGTCACAGAGATACCCTGACTTGTTCTAGAACTTCACAAACCATTTCCTATATGAGATTATTACTGAGGTCAGATTTGGCTCACTGTTGTTCTGACTTCCAGTCCTTTAAATTAAAGTATGTAGGACCTTGTAAATTGAATTGCATTATTCAATTGTATTACAGTGGTACCTTAGTTTACGAACGCTTCGGTTAACGTAGTTTTCAGGTTACGAATGAAAATCCATTAAATAATGCCTTGGTTTATGAATTTTTTTGCACAATACAAAAAAATAATGCCTTGGTTTATGAATTTTTTTTGCGCAATACAATTTTCCCCAGTTTGCCATGTTTTAAAAGTTGATGTGTGATGTTTTAAAAGTTGAAGTTGGATGTTTGAAATGTTATTACTTGATTAATTATGTCCCTGTACAATATTTGTGCCTTTAAAGTGCACTTTATAAAGAGTTTTGAACAGATATGACTTTTTTAAAAAAAAAAACAACAAACTTTTTTCTGGTCTCCAGAACGGATTAATTGGTTTTCTTTGTATTCCTATGGGAAACCGTGCTTCAGTTTATTAATTTTTCGCAATACGAAATGTCACCTGGTCTCCAGAACGGATTAATTGGTTTTCATTGTATTCCTATGGGAAACCGTGTTTCAGTTTATGAATTTTTCGCAATACGAAATGTCATGGAGAACGCATTACATTCGTAAACTGAGGTACCACTGTAATTCAATTTACAGTCCGCTGTTACTTATGAGCTCTGGGCACCCACTGTAATTCAATTTACAGTCCGCTGTTCTGGGCAGCTAACAGAACATGTTGGAAAACACAATTAAAACCTCAAGTTAATACCTAGACTCAGAAATCTAGAATCTGAGATTGCAAATACATAAAATCGTAAGTCTAATAAGTATCCACTTCAGAAGCAGGTGACATGGGGACTGTAAGTCCCATTATCCCTAGCTACCATCATCAATGGTGAGAGATGATGGAAGCTGCAGTCCAGCAATACCTGGAGAATCACAAGTTGTTCATCCTGCTCTAATCCATCATCATCATGTGCCATCATATACAGTGGTGCCTCACTAAACGACATCGTAAGTCTAATAAGTATCCACTTCAGAAGCAGGTGACATGGGGACTGTAAGTCCCATTATCCCTAGCTACCATCATCAATGGTGAGAGATGATGGAAGCTGCAGTCCAGCAATACCTGGAGAATCACAAGTTGTTCATCCTGCTCTAATCCATCATCATCATGTGCCATCATATACAGTGGTGCCTCACTAAACGACTGCCTTGCAAAATGAGGAATTCGCTAGACGATGACTTTTTTGAGCAATGTTGTGCTGCACTACCTGGAGAATCACAAGTTGTTCATCCTGGTCTAATCCATCATCATCATGTGCCATCACATACAGTGGTGCCTCACTAAACGATTGCCTTGCAAAATGAGGAATTCGCTAGACGATGACTTTTTTGAGCAATGTTGTGCTGCACAAAACAATTGTTCCTATGGGCAAATTTTGCTGGACGATGTTTGGGGCCTTGCCTTGCAAGACAGTTTTTTTGGAGACAGTTGTTTTTTTGGACTCTGTTTTGCAAAACAGTCCCCCCCCCCAATTGGAACACATTAATTACATAAGATTTGTTTTTTAATCCCAAAAAAGTAGGTCTTATGTAATTAATGTGTTTCAATGGGGGGGGGAAGCATCTTGCAAAGCATTGCCAATGGGGCTATGGCTGCAAATTTAAATGGTAGAGAATGGTGAAAACAGCCAGGAATCAAAGGGTAAAGACATTGTAAAAAAACCAGGAAAATCACAAATATAATCTCTCATTAACACAAATTATGCAGTTGAGTTCCCCACATTTGGGGAAATTACAGGGATCAGCAGCACACCCAAAGTGCAATGGATGAGCCTCCATCTGGGAAAACAAATTGTATGACATACAGCTAAGTTCCCACATTTAAGGAAATCACAAGGATCAGTACACCCAAAGTATAATGGATAAGCCTTACCTTGGAAAAACCACTTTCATGACTATGGTATTTCCCCTGAAAGGTTTAAGTTGGATTGGCCCTTGCACCTCCTATCCCATTCTGTGCTCTAGTGCATAGGTATTAGCATAAGGTATTAGCATATGCTAATACTTGTGCACTAGAGGATTATGGGAGGAACACCTAGCCCCTGATGGGGTTTCCGCACGGCCCCCAAAAACACTGAGGAAGTGTATGGAAGTGAGAGCTGGACCATAAAGAAAGCAGACCGCTGAAGAATTGATGCCTTTGAATTGTGGTGCTGGAGGAGACTCTTGAGAGTCCCCTGGACTGCAAGGAGAACAAACCTATCAATTCTAAAGGAATCAACCCTGAGTGCTCACTGGAAGGACAGATCCTGAAGCTGAGGCTCCAGTACTTTGGCCATCTCATGAGAAGAGAAGACTCCTTGGAAAAGACCTTGATATTAGGAAAGTGTGATGGCAAGAGGAGAAGGGGACGACAGAGGATGAGATGGCTGGACAGTGTCTGCGAAGCAACCAACATGAAATTGACACAACTCCGGGAGGCAGTGGAAGATAGGAGGGCCTGGCGTGCTCTGGTCCATGGGGTCACGAAGAGTCGGACACGACTAAACAACTAAACAATGACGACGAAAAGGAATCATCATCAGGAGCCTTTCATTCTCTTCCTTTCTTGCTGGAGAGGACAGGCTATCTGAGACCCATTGAATTTCCAAAGGCAGTGCAGATGAGGGGATTGTTTCCCCCCAATATGGTATGGGGAACTGTGTTTTGCAAGATGATGTTTCCTATGGACAATTTTTGCAAAACAGTGGCTTTTTTCCCAATTGGAATGCATCAAATGGATTTCAATGCATTCTATTGGGAATTGGGCTTCACAAGACAGCGATTTCCATGGAACGAATTAAAATCATCTTGCTAGGCACCACTGTAAATTCTGATTTATGGTGACCCTTTTGAGGGTTTTCCAGCTAGAAGAATACTCAGAATTAATTTACCTTTCCCTTCTTCTGGGGGGCACCCTGGCACTGTTCAGCTTGTCCATAACTAGACAAGCTGGCTCTACTCCCAGGAGGCCCAGTGGGGAATCAAGCTCCCAGTCTTTACCTCTGCGGCCAGATATCTAAACCACTGAGCTAGTTCTCAATTAGTGGCTAGTTCTTTATGGTCAGCAGCCCTTCCATGCCACATTATATATTTGTACTGAAAGAAACTGGAAGAATTTCAAAAGCATGGAGTTGAAACTTCATAACAAACATTGGTATGTGACTTATAAACCAACATTATAACAACGTAACAAATATTGTTATGTACCATCAAGTTTCTGAGAACTCATGGGAACCACAGTAGGGTGTCTAAGGTATGTGAGATATTTAAGGAGTGGTTTTTTCAGTGCCCTCCTCCAGTGAGTTTCCATGGCCAAGCAAAGATTTCAACCCAGATCCTTTTCATCTGATCCCATCATCGTCCACTAAATCACAAACCAAAACAAAAATGCCAGGTCTAAGGTGTTGGGAATGGCTAAATTAGCTCACTGAATTCAGACAACTTCATTTAAGCAAAGTGTACACGGCCTGAGAGATAAAATGGCCCTTAATTTCAAACAGGACCCTTGGCTTGCCCATACAGAAAACAGTGGTCAAATCAAGGGAGACTGTTTAAAGTTTAACAATGCTACCTATTATTTCTAGATAGACCATTTGTTGTGCAAAAATCAGTTTTTAGATCATCGTTGAAGTAGAAGCGCTGCGAATGTCATGCCAGCCAGACTTTGAATCTCACGCTAACGCCTTTGATCCTGATAGGTTTTGGCACAGCACTGCCGCTTATGCCATCGCTACTGAAATCAGTGGGAAAATACAACATCTCCCTCCAGTTCATCATCCGGTCTACCGCTGGCCTGGAGACCTTCTAAAGCCTGATCTTGTCTTGCTGTTGACGGTTAGTCCTGAGGAAAGAATCCGAAGGCTGCAGGGCCGTGGGATTGAGAAGACAAGAGAGGAGGCTGAGCTGGAGGCAAATAACATCTTCCGTCAAAAGTATGTACAAAATTTTTCATGCTATCAAGGGTCTTATGTTTTGTAATCATTCAGAAAATCAGAAATGTATGATAGTTCTTCGTAGTCATCAATTGGAGGTTCATATCTGGAAACTGTCTCTAATGGCGAGGGATGGGTATATGTTGTTCCCCGGCTGGAGAGGGGTCTTTCAGTTCATAGTATGAACCATCCCTAGCAGAAGGATGAACTAATTAATCAATTATGCAAAGGAAAATTGGATGATTTCACTTTCTCCCACATGCAGATTTTTAAAATCTCTATTCAGTTCCAAAGATCAATGTGCCATTTTTGGCAAAATCTTCAAAATGAACTGGAACAAAAATTCCCTCCTATTTGGACAAGCCAAATTCACATTTGACAGTGATTCCTAGTCTAGAGAAAGCGAGCGCTTTTCTGCCATACGGATATTATAGATGCACATTTGACAGTGATTCCTAGTCTAGAGAGCGCTTTTCTGCCATATGGATATTATAGATGAGGGACCTCCCCAGAAAAAAAAAGACAGAAAGCCCTTAGCATTAACATGGTTGGCTCTACAGGGGTTCAGACTCTCAAAGCATTTTGAGGGTTCAGCCCTCAAAACACTGAGCTTGCATGATGAATCTCTCCATTTCCATTTCATACCAAGCACTCTCCTTCCCAAACAGCAAGAAATACATGGGTTTTTTGTTACTTGTAAGGGTGTTACTGTTGAGACATCTAATGTCTATGAATTGTGTATGTAATTTTTTTAAAAAAAATACTGCCTGTTCTCTCTCTTTTAAGAGTTGAAGAGTCTTACCTAAGGATGGAGAATCCTGCATGTCAACCAGTTGACGCCAGTCCTTCTAGAGAAGAGGTTCTTAAAACTGTTCATCATCTGATTAAAAAGCAGTGTCATTTTCCGTAGCTAATTGTGAATGCACCAGTGTGGGTACTCTTCAGCACAAAAGGAGTCACTTCAGAATTCCATAGGAGATGACATAGGTATAAGAATGTAAGATATCTGCATTTTCTCTAAGGGTTGGAAACAGAAGTAAGAGGCCACTAGCTTTTATTGGATCTATTGCTTTGGGAAAGATGAAAGCAAGGTTAATTGTGCTTCTGTTAAGCTCAGACATAGAGAAGTAATGTATAAAAGAAAAGGAAGATAAGGCTGCATGCTCCCTGTGTTGGATGGAGTTTGATATCCTTTATGAGTTGGGGTGGGGGAAAGTACAATACTGTATACATATGTACACATATATTTAAATTGAATTGGTATCACTTTATCATGCACTTGGCCCCTCTCCCCATTGTAAATTAACACGCAGAGAAAAGCTCTAACATGACAGTTTGGTGGGGAATACTGAAGATTTGTGACAAAGAAATTCTAGTGGGATGTGGACAAATTGCGGGAATTGATTTTTCAGACAGGATTCATTCCCCTCCTTCCTTCATTTTGCTGTGTTACAGGAGTCTATAAGAGCCCATTGAAATCTGTACTCATTCAGAGTGAGGGCACCGCTTCTTGTCCTCACTACCCTTATGTTTGGGACTTGGCCAAGTTAGAATCAACTACTTAAGGATGTGAACTCACAAAAAATGTGAAAAAATTAGCAGCCTGCATGCCATTTCTTTCTCAATTAGACCTGGGCTATTCATATTCAGGATGGAACAGAATGGTGCCCATGTGAATCTTCCTATGCCACACCACTTTTCTGTGGTTCATTGACGTAACCCCTCCTCCTCCATTTCCTTGTTTGTCTTGCTGAAATGGATTCAGATGGGGGAACAGGTTACAGCTTGAAAAAGGAAGGTTAACAGGAGTCCTGTGTAGCCTTATCAAGTGGAATCCAGCAATGGATCTAGATTACTGTGTTTAGATTGAAAGAGTTTAATGTTGGCCCACGACTGGCTATCGTTTTAGGTTGTTGAGATCTAAACCATTCAAGATGACCAAAGTCTGAGATTCTTCAAGTAAAATTGTGCACTGGCAGGAAATCTGCATTTTTTTTTTGTCTTTGTGCTACGCTTGTCAAGTTTTCTTGAAAGATTTCACATAAGCTTAGTGGGCAAAACAGGTCTTTAGATTTCACTGAATGGAACCAGATGCATTAAAACTTCATTTTCCTCTCTTGTTTTTGCCTGCTGATTTTCTAATGGTCTTGAATTTCAACAGGAAGACTTAAAATATCTTGCACAAATGCAAATAACTCTTGATAATATTCTTGTAATGGGTTAGTATTCCTTCTGACAGCTGCACTCTACTTACTTAGGTTCATGTATATAAAATAAGCCAGGTTGGGACTTTAGAAACTTCTTTTGGGGAGAGAAGAAGAATGACGAGCCCTGCTGAGCCAGGTCAAAGGCTCATCTTGTCTAGCATTCCATTTTCCACAATGGCTAACCTTACTGTATCTCTGCTTGGGGAGTTTGTTTAATCCTCTTTCGTTAGCGTATAAGTGAATGGTGCCATCACAGCGTTGGGACAATAATAACAACAACCTTAGAACTGCAGAGCTGGAAGGGCCTGTAGCGAACAGCCCTGCCCTCACCTGTCCGTCACAGCTGAGCAGTGGAGAAGGAGCCAATGAGAGGACGGAAGGTGGAGCCAAGGGGGGGAAGGGGCTGGATATAAAGGCTGGTGTATGGAGCATGAGGAGAGATTCTGTGAGTGAGAGACAGTGTGAAACTTAAAAGTGAACTTAGAGTGAGATAGAGTTCTGTAAGAACGCTGAATGGTACAGAGAGTTATTAGAGAGTTAAAGTCAAAGTAGAACTGATGCAAATACAAGTGATTAGCAACCTGTGATGCACCAATTGAATATTAATCAGATGTTAAGTCCCCTGATCAAATAAATGACGTAAGTTTTGAAAGCACACATGTCTCCTTGATTAAGTGGTATTAAAGCAGTAATACCTGGTGGCAGCGAAGAAGGAAGAAGAGCGAGAACCTTGTGAAGGCCTGGGGAAACGGGGTGTCAGAGGGGATCGCCACAGAGCCCTCTGGTTCTTCTTCGTGGCCTCTGTGAATGCACACAGTTGGGTTGTTCTGCACCTGCGCTGAACTTCTCGGAGGTTTCTAGAGCTTAAAGACACATGATTAGTGGGACGTTCCCCTGTGAAGTGCCTGCTCCGCCCATCACTGATCCCCTCAGTTCCTTTTTTTCACCATTTTTGGCTAAACCTGTTTCGGAGGCTAGAGCGATCTATTGAATTTATACTTCCTAGCGAACCATCGTTTATTTACCTCAAATTCTTTTCAATCTTCTTCCTTTATTCGACATTTCCCCTGTGAGTTTATTCCAGTTTTTTCTCTGCCCGCGTTTTGCCGATCCCCCCCAAGACCGTTTTTTCCCTTTTGTTTCCTGCTCTTTTATGGGGCCCCCGGGCCTTTCAAACAGTGCGTTCTATGTGCAAATAAAATCCTGCTGTCTGATGGCCATGACTATTGCCTCTTCTGCCTTGGAGAACCGCATCCTACACACTCCTGCTCCAAGTGTAAAAGGCTAACTAAACCAGTGCTAAAACTGTTTAAAAAGCTTAAGGTCTTACCTTTGTGAAAAATCTCTTAATCCACCTCCATTCTCTATGGAGTCTGCACGATCTCCAGACCCTCAACCAGATTGGCAAGATCCACCAATGCCTGCTTCCAGCCTCGCGACTTCTCCTCATAAGAAAAAAACTCAGCAAGGCATCCACGCAAACAGACCTGGCCTTTGCCCTCAGCCCAGCTTCCTAGGGAAAAGGGTCCAGGGTCCTGGGACACGCTCTTTTAAAGCAGGACGTCCCAGCCCTAGGCCCCACCCCCAGGCCATGTGGTCAGGAGACAAAAAGAAAGCCTAGGGGAAAAAAATTCAGCAAGGCATCCATGCAAACAGACCTGGCCTTCGCCCTCAGCCCAGCTTCCTAGGGAAAAGGGTCCAGGGTCCTGGGACACGCTCTTTTAAAGCAGGAAGTCCCAGCCCTAGGCCCCACCCCCAGGCCATGTGGTCAGGAGACAAAAAGAAAGCCTAGGGGAAAAAAATTCAGCAAGGCATCCATGCAAACAGACCTGGCCTTCGCCCTCAGCCCAGCTTCCTAGGGAAAAGGGTCCAGGGTCCTGGGACACGCTCTTTTAAAGCAGGACGTCCCAGCCCTAGGCCCCACCCCCAGGCCATGTGGTCAGGAGACAAAAAGAAAGCCCAGGGGAAAAAAACTCAGCAAGGCATCCATGCAAACAGACGTGGCCTTCGCCCTCAGCCCAGCTTCCTAGGGAAAGTTTTGAGGTGGTTGCCCAGATTACCTGTTTTCTTATGCTTGTGGAGCAAAGCTTTCCTTGTGTGAAAAATTCACACACAAGACTTGCCATGTTTCATACTCTTGAAATCGCACGTAGATTTTTAAAAATGCAAGTTGTGAATAATGTATGCAGTTCTAAAATAAGCACAAGTACACATTAGTGAATGGAGAAAAAAGTATAGAATGCATGCATTAGTATAGTATACTGTAAAGTGCATATACGTTGTGAGAAATACATATGAATGGGAATTCTGGTTTCAGCTTGATTCAATGAAAGACAGGTGAGGTTCTGGAATTCAATAAAACAACAAACACAAGGCTGAGAGCCTTGCTAATCTCTCTGCTAAAAGTTGCCCTCCAGCGCGCTTTTCTCAATGCTGATTCAGAACCTGCTTTTATGCAAGAAGGAGGCACAAACAGCCCTACCCCCGTTCTTTATACCATGTGTAATTTTAGAAGCCTCTCTTGTCCACACTTTCATCACGTTTCCAAACTATAAAGCTAATTGCCATATCTCCCCCCTGACTCCTGTGTGAGTCGAGGGAAACCCAAGGCCCCAGATGCATTCACATTTCTTGCACTGTGTAGTTGCACCCTGGGTGAGAGGACAAAGGAAAAAAGGTATCGGGAAAACTATCTGAAAAGTGGCACAAGTCTTTCTCCACCTTATAGCCCCACAAAAATGGGTGGCAGGGTGGCTGTAAGGGAATAGCTGTACAGTATGTGATGGGCTCAGTTTGAGTTCTTCTTTAGCACCTCAAGAGTTGAAGTCTTCTGGGGCTGCATTGACTTTATGCAGGGAGTGGGTTCAGCTGTCATCTTCTCTTTTGGTGCCAGCAGCTTGGACGATATTATTTTCAAATCCCTGTCCAGGACTGCTGAGCGGGAGATGAAGGACCTGTTGTGGTGTTGCTCCGCCCCAGGGGTCAACAGTTTCTTGCGTTGCCCTGTTGTCGCACCAGAATTGCAGAAATACTCCTGGTTCAGTCCATTTTTATACATATTTGTCAGAAGTCGAAATGCATCTCCATCTGAAACAGCAATGGTTCTAAGTTTTAGATGCGTCACCTCCACTTCTCAAGTTACATGGTGATGATTCTTTGCCTCCAGTGGGATCAGTAAATATGGAATAGGCTGCCACTGTTGAGAGAACAACCATCTTTCTAATACTAGGTGTAGTGTATCGGGCACTTTAAAGGAGGTTTCTGACAGCTGTAGGAGACAAGTGGACCTTGTAATGAGGTGATGCCTAGAGGGTTTGATTGGGGTGTGTGTGTGGATTTATGGATATTTATTGACTGTGCGTCTTGTGTTTGTCGTGTCGTCTTTCAAACAAAGGACCGTATGTAGAAGCAGTTGTCGTGTCTGGACCCACAACATAACACCAGGTATCAGTGGGAAGAATCTAAAGGGATTTGTTCATTTGTTTCACTTCCTTTGCTTGTTAGTAATTTACTCCCTTCCTGACCTCTGACCATGCAGGAAACATGGCGTGGTCTCGCCATTTGTGGATTTGTGCTTTTTATAGACAGCAAACATATGTAAAGATTCCTTCTCCCACCACCAGCACCACTTAAAATGCTTCCGGAGTGATTTTGAACATATAAAGTGCCAGTTACTGTGAAAAGGGGTGGACACCCCGAGACCTAAGCTATTCTCTCATGCCTTCTCTGAGCAGTTGTTTGTAACTGATACGCCACTAACTATAACAGGAATTAACTATGTTCTCCAGCAATTGCGACAAAGGAATGATTTGGAGTACGCAGGCACCAGTCCCACTACTTTCTGCATGCTAAGTGAGTGCTGTTATCGTTTGAGCTATTTCCCCAGAATCCCACAAGGTACCGGATGCTCTGACTTTTCAGGGGTTCCTCCAGGCATTTCCTCTCCCAGTGTGGTTTTCAATCTTAAATAAGCAAGTAAAGCCACTAGAGGGTAGAAGAGAGCCAGGCATGGCACGCTCTTGGCTTTTTCCAAGCAACAACAAATGCCTTCTATCCAGGCAACACATTCCCAGGTTTGGAGGGACAAGGAGCAGACATAAAGAGTGCTGAAACAGCAGGATGTTCTCTGTTCCTTCTAGAGCTTTTGGCCGTGCTGCAGTTCTGTGGTCACCGTGTGTGTTTGTGTGTCTGTGTCTGTGTCTGTCCAGGAGGATTTTGTGCAGAAGGTGGCAAAAGACGTGATGGCGTGCCTTCGCTCAGCTAGTATGGTCTGATGAAGTGCCGTCTCCTTAATTTCTCAAAGGAGAGACACTTACTTCTAGTGATGACTGCTTGTCCTTCTCCTGATCCAATCCCAATTTAGTTGAGGGCTTGTCTTTCTGATCCAATCCCAATTTAGTTGAGGGCTTCTCTCCCCCCCCCCACAGTTGAACTGGACAATTCTGAAGTGCAGGCATTCCTCATCCAATCCGACCAGCAGCGATGCTGATCCATGACCCCAGTGGGTTCTTCCCTGCCTCCCTGCGCGGGCGACCACTCTGGTAGGGATAGGGAGGTAGGATGGGGAATCTCCCTACTCAGCTGATGATGGAGGACCCCAGGGCTGTGTGGCAACTGGTGAATGGACCAGGTCATTCTGGGGGGGGGGAGGGAAGGGAACTCTGCAGCACTTGTGGTGCCCCTATTCATATTTGTATCCCCTGTTTGTATCCATGTCTTACCCCAGTCATCCATGAAGCACAAAATCGCTTGGGACAAGGATGGGTTACATATGACCTTTTGGATGAAGTTGGACTGCAACTCCCACCAGACCTAGTTTGCCACAATTGTGAGGGCCTGTTCCCACTGCCGGAATAAACCGGCAGAGTAAGCATATTTTTTTTTGGGGGGGGGATTTGTGCTTTAAGAGCCC